CTTTGCAGGCTTTTTGTCATGCTACATGGAGAAACCGCAGCCTCTCATCACAAAGATATTATGTACCAAATCTGGAAACACTTGACCTGCATTTTTCCAGGTTCAGATTAAGAAACATTGGAAAATAAAATTGTTGCAACCATTAAAGTAGAACTATAGACAAAACATTTTTTCTTCCTTTTGGGTGGAGCAAGGGAGGGTTATAACCCCGGTTAGATTTGTTTGCCATCTGTGTCCCATTTTGGAGATTTCCCTTATATTCCTGTCCATTTCCAAACAGGAAGTGAGAGGAAATCCCTGCAAATTAAAGGAATCTCTTGGGGACCCCCTAGTCACTAGAACTATTGTCCCCATTGGAATATTTCCCCTCTGTTACTTTACTGGGGACAACCCAAAATGTGGGATTTTTATTATTTTCACGTTCAATGATAATGGTTAACAGGACAAGTAGAGAGGGTAAATCCAGGGGCGTCCCTAGGGTTGGTGTCACCCGGTGTGGTAACACTTAGTGTCACTCCTCCGACGATCCCCGCAGGATGGATCAGATCTGTGAATTGATCATAATGGATCGGAGATCCATTATGCTCCCCAATCCGCAGATCCAATCCATCCTGCGGGGATCGTCGGCTTGCAACCTATATGAGCTCCATGAAAAGTTAAGTTTTAAAGCAAGCCGACTATCCCTGCAAGATGGATTAGATCTGCGGATTGGGGAACATAATGGATCGGACTCAATCAAACGTCTATAATGCTATAAAAGAGGTTTCTGTAACTACTATCAGGACAGTTCACAAAGCTGTATTTCAGGAAGAGTTAATCAAAACAGCTAGCTCTAATATACAGTAGCTCAAAGAACATATCAAATTGATCAGCTAACCCAGCATATTAGACAGTTAGATAAAAACTTAAGCTATGTAGCCCAAATGTTTTTCAAGAGATCCAAATTTTTCATTCTATCAGTAGATGTCCTTAGTCTAATGTTTAGCATCATTCAACCGACTTCCTCTGAGCCCAGGTCATCCTGGACCCACCTTAACCTCCCTTTGGATAGTGAAAGGAGAAGCAGCATAGTGAAGGGTTAGAACCGGTCTTTAGTTGAAGTGCAACTGCAGCCAAATTATTTTTTAAAACTTTGAACATACTGATGAAGAGCTCCTGTAAGATTTTTTGTATTACTGTGAGTTTTCATTAAGAAGATTTCCCTCACTACCTGTTCTGAAAGGAAGTAATGGAATTCTCTAGCAGGGCTGCAGACCACACTTAAAAGTCAACAGTGATTCCAGTCTTCCTCTACTCTATTATGAGGGTTTTAAAATGCTCTTTGTTTCCCTGGAGAATTTCTCATTGGACAAAGGGTTTTGCTAGTATCTGGCAAAGACTTTAACTGCTTGCCGCCAGCGCACAGGAGCTGCAGGCCAAGCAACATACTGGTGCGTCACATCGCGACTTTTCTTCCTCTCCTTGCTGACCTGTACTGTGATTGGACACAGCACAAGTTTGGCAGCTGATTTCAGCCAAAGATTTTGGCTGAAGTCAGTTGATTGGCTGTGGCGAAATACACACTTACAAAAAACACAGAACTCTGTGTACAGGGAAAGTGATCTACTGTTTCTTCTCCCTGCAAAAACGGACAGACAAAGTAAAATCAGCGCATATTATACACATTACACATTTGTTAGGCACATTGTTAACCCCTTGATTGCCCCTAGATGTTAAACCCTATCACAGACACACTATATGTCGCTGTCACCACCATTACAGCATAGCGTCTTAGCTGTGTAAATTCCAGTATACTATAGTCTGTAGACGCTAGACGTAGACTTTCACACAAACCAATTAATATACATTTATTGTGATTTGTTTTTACCAAAGACATGTAGCAGAAAACATATTGGCCTAAATTTATGAAGAAATTGGATATTTTTCAATTTAGCATTGGATATGTTTTATAACAGAAAGTAGAAAATATTGTTTTTTTTTCTGCTTAGTCTTTTTCATTTAGATTGCAAAAAAAAAAAAACCCCACTAGTGATCAAATACAACCAGAACAAAGTTCTATTGTGTGAAAAAAGTGATTAAAATGTAATTTACGTAAAGTGTTGCATGACCGCGCAATTGCCAGTTAAAGTAGTGCAGTGCTGAATAGTAAAAGATCCACTAGTCATGAAGGCGGTAAAACCTTCCAGAGCTCAAGTGGTTAAAGAAAGTAATTTCTACATTTAAAGACACAGTTGGGTCTGGTGTTTTTCCAAGCTAGCTTTTTTTTTCCAGTGACTATGGTGGTTACAGTTTCCCAAATATGACCATACACAAGCAGCTGGGCAGACTTTGACAGCCTGATACTACAAAGACTCGACCATTGTGGTCTCTGTTTACATAATAAACATTGTACTATATTAAAAAATTATACAGACAGGACATGTCAATATTTTTTATAATTTTTTTTTTTTTATCCTCCCACATAATTTTATGCACCCCTACAAAAGAGAACGCTATTTACCAGGTGCACCTGTTATTTTATAGGTATCTGGAAATTCAAGCTGCATAAAACTGGAAAACCCTGAATATCTGAATACCTCTGAGATCCTCAGCAACTTTTTAGCTGCTCATATGATCACCTGCACAGAGGATTGGAGGAGGTTAGGTTCTGCATCAAAAAGGAGAATTTTGTTTCTTTTTAAAAAGAAAAGATATAAGAATAAAACTTCAGTACATTTCTTTAAACATTGTAAGTAGATTTTTTATATTATTCATTTTATTCATTATATTTAGAATTAATGCTCCTCTTAAGAAAATTAGAACTTTATATCTTTATTATTTTTTAATTTTTTGACCAAATTACTTTTACATGTGACGTAAATTGCACTGAACAAAAGCTCAGGATGTCCCTAACCTAATCTAGAATATCATTCACTTCTTTGAAAGAGAGAACAAGCAGTAATAATATGACATGATTAGATTCTCAGAACATTTCTTTTGGCTTTTAATGGAGAAATAGAAGTTGCAAAGAAACGTACCCTTTACCAGATGGCAATGAAGCCCAAAATGAATTCTGAAAAATAAATAAAATGGAATATAAAAAATAAGCAAAATGAAACAATGTTTTGATTTTAAAATGGCACCATGCTTTTTCATCAGTCTGCATACTGACACATATGTCCTTTTTATAGCATTTAAACATAAAGCAGGCATTAAGGTAAAAATAAGGCTTAAAAATTATATATATTTTGCATTCTGTCACTAGTAATAACGCAGCAGTTTTTATGATTTTTAGCCCTGAGCAGGGCACATTACATGGGGCAGGGCACATTACATGGGGGGGGAGGGCACATTACATGGGGGCAGGGTACATTACATTGGGGAGGGCACATTACATGGGGGCAGGGCACATTACATGGGGAGGGACACATTACAGGGTGCAGGGCACATTACATTGGGTGAGGGTACATTACATGGGGGCAGGGCACATTACATGGGGAGGGACACATTACATGGGAGTGCAGGGCACATTACATGGGTGAGGGTACATTACATGGGGGCAGGGCACATTACACGGGGGAGGGCACATTACATGGGGGCAGGGCACATTACACGGGGGAGGGCACATTACATGGGGGCAGGGCACATTACATGGGGGAGGGCACATACATGGGGAGGGCACATTACACGGGGGCAGGGCACATTACATGGGGGAGGGCACATTACAATGGGGCAGGGCACATTACACGGGGGCAGGGCACATTACACAGGGGAGGGCACATTACATGGGGGCAGGGCACATTACATGAAGGAGGGCACATTACATGGGGGCAGGGCACATTACATGAAGGAGGGCACATTACATGGGGGCAGGGCACATTACATGGTGGAGGACACATTACAGGAGTGCAGGGCACATTACATGGGGGCAGGGCATGGTTGAGGACACATACAGGAGTGCAACATTACATGGGGGCATGGACTGTAAATTGTACAGTTTGTACATTATGGTCAATTTACAAACTGCATGCAGAACAGGCAGGAGTGCTGCCAGGACTGGAGAGGAGAGGATTGGTGGTGGAAGGGCTGGAATGCAGACTCAGAGTCAGACTTGGTAATGACTCAAAAGGCAGAGGAGGAGCAAGCCACCCGACTGTCTGATTGAGTTGCAGCCTGCATCTGAGGCTGAGTGAACAAACATTATGGAGGAGGTCAGCGTAACAGTACTCCAGCCAAGCCACAAAGTTTTTTTGTTTTTGTTTGGAGGGTGGGTTGCTGATGTAAGGGGGGGGGGGGGGGAACTAAGGCAATGGGGGACACTGACATAAAAGTTCTCCCATATATCAGTAACCCTCCTTACCTTAGTGTATTCACCTTCTGCAGAAGGTGGTCTGTGGTCACAAGGGTCCCCAATCCCCCCCACTCACATCAGAGTTCGTGGTGTTCCTTTTAAACCAGTGTTCTTAGAGGTCCCCTTTGCATCAGACCCTGATATAAAAAGGAACTCTGATGTAAAGGGGAACGCTGCGGACTCTAATGTAAGGGGGGGTTCTGGGGGCCAGAGACCACCTTACATCACAGTTCCCCTTTACACCAGAGTCCACAGTATTCCCCTCTATATCATGGCCCGCTGTGTTCCCCTTTACATCAGGGTCTGTAGAGTTCCCCTTGCGCTGCACTGTGGACTGTGATGTAAAGGGGAACTCTAGAGTTTGATATAAAGGGGAAACATGTGGACTCTGATGTAAATGGGGAATTTGTGGAGTGTGATGTAAAGGGGAGCTTTGTGTGTGTATGTGTGTGTGTGGTGGGCTGCTCTCTACTAGATTTACCTCCTGTGGGCAGGGTTGGTGCTAGACTATTTTGCGCCCTAGGCAACATCAGCTACTCCCCCTTACCAAAATAAATAAATAAAGGCATTTAATAACAGTAGAAAATATTAAATCAACAAATTATGAAACTGCTAAATTATTTTTTAATTTTTAAATATAAGTGCCATAAAATGCCACCAGCACCAATAGTAGCCTCCCTGGCGGTATTCCTGAGTGTAGCTCGGGGTAAAGTTTCAGTACCACAAGCGGTAACCCCGAGCTACACTTGGGCTCACCATGCGGCGCTGCTCCGGGATCTGTTCTTCTCTTACCTTGTCCTGCGCTTCCGTGATGTCCCTCCTGCAGTGTCCCCTGTAATGTCCTCCGGCGGATGCCGGCATCTGTCTTCTGGGTTCCGTCCCCTGCGACGTTGGGACGTACGGGCGACGGAACGGTGGGAAATTTGAAAATGACAAAAAGTGACATTCACTAAATTCACTAAAATGACATAGTAAAACATTACTGTATCAAAGCATTTCACATACATTTTATCCCTAGTGCTTTGTCCTGTGCCCTGCCTACATTTTTACTGTTCTTTCTGCCTGGAAACTGAGAAACGTCCATGCTGTCCAAAACGCGTCCCTTTATGTCAAAATCGGTTTTAGACCAGCTAGAGAACAGCGATAGTAAATCAGAACCACTTGCAGAATTGAGTGATAATGATTTGTGGGGAAATTCCTCATCAGACACTGAAAACGATTTTGCGACTTTGCTCAGTGATGTGCAAACTTGGAGCTATATTTCAAATTTCAGTGTTTTTGGTTTGATTATATTATTGAACTAATATTATATTATTATTTTTTATATGATTATTTATTAAATTATAATTTATGATTTTGTGTTTCAAATTTTAACCACTAGCCTACAGGGCACTCATACCCTCTTCCTGCCCAGGCCAATTTCCAGCTTTCAGCGCTGTCGCACTTTGAATGACAATTGCGCGATCATACAACACTGTACCCATATGAAATTGTTATCATTGTTTTGTGACAGATAGAGCTTTCTTTTGGTTTAATCACCTCAGAGTTTTTTATTCTTTCTTAAACAAACCAAAAACCACTGAAAATTTTGGGGAAAAAAAAACTTTTTTTCTTAGTTTTTGTTATAAAATTTTGTAAATAAGTGATTTTTCTCCTGCACTGATATACGCTAATGAGGCTGCAGTGGTGGGCACTAATAGGCTGCACTGATGGAAATTGACAGTCATCACTGATGGGCACTGAAAGGCAGCACTGATACATAGCACTGATAGGCAGCACTGATAGGAGGCACTGATAGGCGGCACTGACTGGTACTGATAGGTGGCACTGACTGGCACTGTTAGGTGGCACTGACTAGCACTGATAGGCGTCACTGAGACGGCACTGATAGGCGGCACTGATGCGCACTGATAGGCAGCACTGGCTGGCACTGATAGGTGGCACTGACTGGCACTGATAGGCGGCACTGATAGGTGGCACTGATTGGCATTGATAGGTGGCACTGACTGGCACTGATGGGTGACACTGAAAGGCAGCTCAGATGGGCACTGATATGTGGCACTGATGGGCACTGGCATGAGGCCCCAATGAGCACTGACAGAAGGCACTGATGGACACTGACAGGTGGCACTGCTGGGGCTACACTGATCATCAGGGCACACTGATCATCAGTCCCCTCTGCGGAAAGCCGATTACCACCTCTCCTCTCCTCTCGAGCTATCAGCGTGACAGTTCGAGAGGAGAGAAATGCCGATAACCGGTATTTCCCTGTTTACATGTGATCAGCTGTGATTGGACACAGCTGATCACATGACCGAGCTGACATCTTCGGCTCTTTCCATGATCGGTGATCCACTGTGTCCGAGTGCGCTCCCTGAGCCGTACATGCGCGGTGAGAATGGGAGGATGTCATATGACGTCCTCCCAGAATAAGAGAACCACCTTGCGCCCGTCATTGGTCTATATGGTGGGTGGGAGGTGGTTAACATACTCGGGATATTTACTAGACTCTTGTTCGGACAGATTTCAGTGAGTTATTCCTAAAAATTACAGGCCTACAATAAAAAAAAATACATATTTCCATGTATCACTTTGAGCACAGACATATGGACATAATCAGACCGCTAGGGAGGTTAAAGACAAAATATATAGAGTATTAACCAAATATAAATTAACTGTATTACCAATCAGACAGAGAAACAAAAAAAAAAAGAGACAGAGTTACAAAAACAGAGTTACAAAACGCCACAGTGATCAGCAGCCACCAGCAGTGTCTGAGAGCAGCACTGTAAGGGAGCGGCAGTTCAGCTGCTACACTAGCCCCAGACACCCGACATCTTCCTCTGTCCTTTCTTCCTCTCCCTCTACTGCCCCTCCAGTCAGCTGAAGGATCATTCATGATGTGGCGGTGTCCCACATGATCAATCAGCATCCCGGTCCCCTCACCCCAATCACTGTATGCCCCCTCCTCCTTTCACCTCCATGACCCGCCATCCTCTTAGGCTCCTGCTGGGGTGTGGAGTCCAGGCTGCGGCTCTCAGTGAGGATAGACGGCTCGATCATCCTAGTCACATAGGGTTAACCCTGTCTGGACAGACTGTGAGACAATTGTGCAGAGCAAAGATACCATCGGTTCCTCATGATTTCCTGTGTATGAGAGAGAGGGGGAATCTGCAGAGAAATGAAGAATTCATACAAGAGGTCCACAGGCCAGACAGAGAGAATGCTGGCCTTTTCTGTGCCCAGGCGCTCCTAGGTGGCAGTGAACCCTAGGCGGCTACCTAGTTTGCCTAGTGGAAGCACCAGCCCTGCCTGTGTGGGTAGTCACTGTGTTCTCACTGCACAGCCAGTCCCCCTTCCTATTCTTCACTGCTTTTATCTCTGCCCTGTAATTACCCTATCCTGTACACCAGGGCTTGAAAAAGTCGCTTGCCAAATGCGAGGAGAAATTCCTCTGTGGCGAGTGGCGAGCTGTGAGCACAGATGAAGTCTGGAGCAACTGCACCTGCGCTCCAAGCCTCATTGTGAAGCCGAGTTCCGGTTTACAACTTCCGTTTTTCCGGCTTCTGCTGCACCGCCGCTGAGGGGACAGGTGCAGGAGAGGTCCGCTCTCCTCCACTGAGAGGAGACACCCTCTCCACCGCCGCGGGTGACTCGGAGTAAGTACTGTATACAACATGTCATATTACTATAATGGAGTACAGGGGAGCTGGGATATACATTGCTCAGTAATGTATATCCCAGCTCCTCTGTACTCCATTATAGTGATGACATGTATACAGTAATGATTACTGTATACATGTCATATCACTATAATGGAGTACAGGGGAGCTGGGATATACATTACCGTATACATGTCATATCACTATAATGGAGTACAGGGGAGCTGGGATATACATTACTGTATACATGTCATATCACTATAATGGAGTACAGGGGAGCTGGGATATACATTACTGTATACATGTCATATCACTATAATGGAGTACAGGGGAGCTGGGATATACATTACTGTGTATAGTTTTATATTTTGGACTCTTTATTCTAAAGAAAAATGTAATTTCATAAGCTTTAAGGGGGCGTGGTTGGGGGCAGGGTTTGGGGTGGGTTGGGGTTGGGGGCGGACCTGGGCAAGGTTGGGTGGGGCAACTGGTGGAGAGTACGTTTTGTGACGGTTAGTAGGTCTGGACTCGAAATTTTAACCCCTGCTGTACACATTGCTTCCTTTCAGATCGTTTCCTCTACCCTTCTTTGCCACAAACAGCAGGTGAACCTTGGTTGAGAAACCCTGCAATAAACGTACCAGGAGCACTCTCATAGGGCCCGCTACTGGCCCTAGGCAGGCACTCCTGTCTCAGGGCAATAGAGCAGGCAAGCTATTAGCTTCTCAATTATGTTCAGGTTAAAGCTAAAGTATCTAGCCTAACTCATCAAACTCACAGTGTAGAATATAATCCTCAAGACATTACTAACACATTCTGTGACCATTATGAGTCATTGTATAATTTAGATAGTGATTCTGAGACTCCACAACCTACGTCTGAATCAATAGCTGCTTTTATTAAAAGAGGTTATCGGATCATTGCCACTCTATAAGTCTACAGGCTTAAATCGTTTTTCAGCTAAGTATTATGAAATTTTCAATGAGATACTGACTTCCTATCTTGTTAATGCATTTAATGGGTGCTGCATCCTCAGGTGTTTTTTTGTAGATGTTGCAGGCAGTTATAGCGACTTTGCCAAAACCAACTGAAGATCTTACACATCCACAAATCTTACACATCCAATTTCTTTGCTCAACTCTGATTTAAAAGTGTATTTAAAAAGTTTGGCAAATTGCCTACTAGAAGTGACACCATTCTTAATTGGTCTGGATCAAGTTGGATTTGTGAATGGTAGACAAGTACATAATGGCATTAGACAAAATTATAAACCTAATTAAAAATGTAGAGGCTCATGGAATGTGTTTTTCTGCATCTTGCCTTGGACACAGCAAAGGCATATGATAGGGTTCATTGGAGGTACATATTCCAAATGCTACAGAAATTTGGATTATCAGGGTTTATTTATTCTGCTATAATGTCTCTCTGTACTTTGCCTTGAGAACAAGTGCACATATCTGTTATGCTATCTAATAGTTTCAACATTTCAAAAAGATGTCCCTTGTCCCCTTTAATATACTCTTTGATGATGCAACCCTTTGCAGAAGCTATAATCTCTAACCCTCTTATTACAGGCATATCTATAGGTGGCTATGAACATAAAACGTGTCTATTTGCAAACAATATAATTCTCTCAGTGTCTAATCTAGTTTCCTTTATCCAAGCTATACAAAGTATTATCAATCAGTTTGATAAAGTCCCCTATTACAAGATCAACATTAACAAAGCTTATGTATTACCTCTAGGGCTATCAAAATGATCTATACTGAATTTGAAATGAGACTTTCTTTAACTTTGGGATATACCCTCTATTACATAATTGGGCATGCAGCTTACCTATCCAGCCTCTAAATTATACTTAGCCAATTATCCCATGCTACCTAACCAAATATCTCAAGAAATTAAACATATAGGACGATTTTAACTTTTGTGGGTAGGCAGAATAGCTGCTTTTAAAATTAAAATACTCCTAAAAATATTATATCAGTTTAGGACATTGTCGATACTGATTCCTCAAAATTGTTTTCTCCAACTAGACACTATGTTGAGACATTTTGTTTGGAATCATAAAAGAGCTATAATACCATTTTCTTCATTGACGAGATATAGAGCATAGGGTGGAATAGGACTGCCAAATATACACGATTACTACCAGGCTGCCCTCCTAGATCAAATGAAGACATGGTTCCCTCCCTCTGGGGACAAGTTATGGGCAGAAGTTGAACAATATCTTTGACAATATCTTCTCAGGCCTATGCCCATGACTTCCCTACTATTACCTCCTCTTTAGAAGCCTAGAGGGCACTAATGGAGAACACACCACCTAGCTGTACCCCACTTTCTATAAGCTTTAGAATGTATGAATACTGTATCCCACATTTTTCTGTACAAGACAGGATTAATGAAGGATAAGATATTTAGGAACATCTCCCTGAGGAGGTCTCTAACATGGAATAGTATAGAATTAGTATAGAATTCATCAACTTAGACATTTCCATACAGCTAACTCACCAAGGTCAATTGTTGTGGCCCCACGGATTTGGTGATTTTTAACTTGTTCCATAACAAAGAATGAGGAAGGTTTATCTTTCTTTTACAACCTATTTCAGCATGTGCCTAAAACTACCTAAAGTATGTTAAAATGGGAAGGAGATCTCCAACAATCGTTCTCTCCAGAACAATGGTATAAAGCCATTTCAACATATAGTAAGGCATCTGCTTGTATTGAGTACTGGGATAGTTCTCAAAAGAATCTAAATAGATGGTATATGACCACATACAGGCTTTCCAAAATCTATACTTCACATTCTCTGCTTTGTTGGAGAAAAATGTATCAGGTAGACAATCTCCTTCATATATTTGGGGTTGTAAGAATATTAGAAGTTTCTGGAAATTGATCTCAGAACTGTTCTCTAAAATAACGGGAAACCTGATCTCACTCTCTCCTGCTATGGCAATCTAGAGTATAGGTGTCAGGAATGGACTTGCCAGTAATGGTGGGACTCACCTGCCTTGTGGGCTGCAGTACCAGGGCTGGCCAGCGGGTGCTCTCAGCAATCAGAGACTCAACCCTGCAGTCAGCCAAACACCTGAAGCTGAGTACGGAGATGTATTTAAGGGATGGCCAGACCTGCAGTCTGGGCCTTGGTGTGTGTTTTTCCATGGGCCCCTGTATCTTGTTACCTGCATTCCTGTTCCTGTTCCTGTTCCTGCCTGACTGACTTGTTGCCGACCCTGCCTGATCCTGACTTCTGCTGACTTCTCCTGTTTGATCCCTGGCTTGTGACCCCGACCATTCTCTGCCTGACCCCCTGTACCTACCTGCCCATTAGTTGCTGTACCCGGCTCGTGACCTGACTACTCTCTGCCTGCTCCTCCTGTTCCTACCTGCCCGATTGTTATTGACCCGGCCTGCCTGACTACGCTTGCATTGTATATATTGTTATCTGTGGGTGGTTTGGTTTGGTTCGTTTGCACTGTGTTTATGTTTTTAGTATTGCACTGCGTTTTGTATTGTTAGTATTAATAAATTATATTGTTTATAACATATCTGAAGCCTGCGTTTCCCTGCGTCAGTTCACATACCTCTGGTCATACCTGGAGCCCTGACAATAGGCTTAGAAGTGTTTCCTTATAGATATCCGATAGAAGCTTGAATGAAGCCCTATACCTGACCGCCTGAGTTTGAGTGTCCGGGATTAACCGGGACAATCCTGCGGAGCACCGGCGAGGAGTGTGAGGTGGTTAGTGTGGGGACAAATGGTACCAACGGTGGCTGCCAGGAGTGGAGGACTGCCCCAAAAGACAGAGCGGCTGGAGGATCCGTGGGAGGCAGCTGCTGGGAGTCCGGAGATCCTGGTGGTCCGGGAGTAGAAGGAGGAAAAGGAGTCCTGGCTGCCAGGTGAAAGAGGATCTTACACACTGCAGGGGTATTGGAAAGGTCCTGAGAGCTGGGAGGCTCGACGGATGAACAGTCTGAGTCTGAATACGGCATATCCCCCCTGGGAGGAGAAACTAAATATAAGAGACCTAGAGACCCCCCGGATTCTAAGAAATGCACAGGTAGTCCCCCGCATGTGTTTTCGGAAGTCGGATGTGGGAGTCACGACAGGCACCATGAAGTGAACAGAGACAGATTGGCTCTTGAACGGTCGGCATAGAAGGTGTTAGCGGGGGTGACAGAGGACTATACCCGGGGGGGCTTTCTTAGATTGATGGTGGAACTGTTTTACTCTCTCCGGTACCCAAATTAATAGAAAAACAGAAAAAGGACTTTCCCTGGGGGGAGGATTGTGTAACAGAGAACTAAGGTGGAGATGAGCAGATGATTATTAAGCTGACAGTCATAGGAGGACTGAGATGAGAAGAGCAATAAGTGAGTTGAATCAGGAATGAAGGGTAAACAAGCTAAAGGTGGGGTACTAAAAAACCCCCCCAACCGAATGTAAAGGCTACAACAATTAAAAATTATATGCCCCTGCTGGAAAAAAGTCCAGAGAATCGAATTCAGGAAAAATAACAAGTTTGACCTAGAAAGTTCGGTGGAGATCAGTCCAGACTGTCAACTGGGTCTCGGGAAGAGAACCGGATTAATGAATCGATAAGCGGGGAAAGAGTAATGGAACAGAGCGCGATGGAACAGCAAGAAGCCATGTTACAAATACCAACAAAAAACTGACATGGCGGAAATGTTTGCAAAAATGGAGAAGTGTCTGAAAAATGAGTTGGGTGTACTACATAATGACCTGGGATGGATACTAATGTGACTGGAAGAAGTAGAAGAGGTAATGGAAGTACATACTCAACTGATTAATAAGTTGGAGATGCAGGTGGAGGAGATGCATAGAGAACAGAGAAAGCTCTCATATAAGTTAGAGGACCAGGAGAACCGTGATAGAAGAAAGAACTTAAGGATCCGGGGCCATCCAGAAGAAGATTAGGCAGAGGATTTAGAGGAGAAAATAAAGAGAGTATGTAACCCAATTATGGGAAGACCAGCGTCAGAAAAAATTGCAAATTGAGGGAGCATGCAGGATTAGATGGCCTGTAGGAGTATCGGCAGATAGGACTAAAGATGTGATTGTTTGATTTCATTACTACGCAGATAGGAAAAGAATATAGAAGAGTCTGCGGGACACTACTGAAAGAAAATGTGAGGAAACAAAGTTGCACATTTTTTGCTGACATTTCTCCAGAGTCACTGGCAAGAAAATCTTTGAAACCATTACTGGAACATATGAGAGAGAAAAAAGTTTGTTATAACTGGAGCTTTCCAGCATGCTAGATTGGCTGGAAAGATGGGAA